CCGAAAAACTTCAAAAAAGAAGGAAATGTCACTCCTGCAGCTCTGACTGACACCAACCCTGCCCAAATGGCTGAGAAAATTCAGAAATGACTTTATTAAAGTTTATATGCTTTGCTACCAAATGCTGTCTTTTCTGTACTTTCAAATTTCAATGACCACTCAGCAGATATTGCCTGGTTGATCGAATAGTAGAGAAAGACTGATCGGCGCACATAGTGATTGCGGGAGAATCGAAGTGACAGATACACCCATATGATCAAATACTTTAACTTCAGCACATACCATCCATTGGAGGCGTAGAGTGTTCTCCTCTTATGGCAGCGGAGTTGCGGAGAGACCAGGGGCCTGGTCCCACCAGCAAAGCCGATTGGATCTAATGCCTGAATCCGGACGTGTTTCTGGAGTGATGCAACGAATTGCGATTGATCTTCTTTTCTGCATCTCTCCGCACAACCAATGCACATTCAGGAATTAAACCCAATCCTCTTTGCCAATGGGACCAGGCTCCCAATAGTCCACAGGATGGTTTCCCTAAGGATCTCCTCATGATAAAGAAGTGAACCGAGCCCACCACCTCTCCGGGCAGAAGAATAAACTTGTCAGACGAGCGGGAGACCGCACGTGGTATAGGTAGCTGCCGAGTGCCTCCTGCAGTCGCAAAACGGTCGTGACAAGTGGCATGGCAGGCAAAAATGCTGAAGATCTTCGACACGTGTTCAAAGGCAAATGGCCCAAAAAATGGGGCACAAAGAGGTCGCCTCCGCATTCTGTCTTCGATTATTTTATTCAGACCAGATGTCGGGGTCCCACTTACCCGAATTCTCAATTTCCAATCATAGATAACGAAGATCGATGGTCAGAAATGAAAAATCAGTACCGTATATCAGCGTAAGTGGGTGCAGGTAAAAGTAGGATGTCTCATTTGTCCGCCTTGAAAATGCGGGATGTAATACCTTTCTCGGCCTTTTGGCTGAGTAAGATCACGTGCACTGTATCTGTTCTGATCAGTTTAATATCTGATCCGTGGTCCACCGGCCCACATTAAAAAAAAAAAAAAAAAAAAAAAAAAAAAAAAAAAACACGAGATGTTCACTGTTCAGCGGCACTGCCGGAGAACTGGCCGCATAGTGCAGTGGGAATAGCGCCTGAAAGCCGGAGCACTGGGCGGAGAATGTTCATGTATCCAGCCACGAGGGGGACCCCACGTACAAACCTGCTCGATATTATTTCGAACACGTACCCAGTGGCCCCCTTTATGCATCTTATGCAGGGATTGCGCCTGTCTAGATACGAAGTACATCAATCCAGTCGCGAATCTGTCAGAATCATCACCATTTGCAAGTTTTTTCCTTTTTTTTGGGGGGGGAGACGTCCATACATGAAGAGAACAGGCCAGGGTCATCGAACGAACTGTCGTGCCCCGCCTCATTCGGGGCAGTTAGTTAAATCATTCAGTGCCAACAACTATATTTCTGAAGCATTTCCTCGAATTTTCCGGGCTGCGAATTCCAGCTTCTTGCAAAGGAAATGGCCGTAGTTCGTGTACGGTCGGAGTGAAGAAAATGGAAACAACCTCGGCTGCGTGATATCCAAACTGATCGACGGCATTGCAACGTCGTGATTGAAAATTACACAGCCCTTCCAGCTCAGTGGCGTAGGAGGGACCAGGCCCCAGGTAATGTAACCATGGCCCAAATACCCTGTTGAAACAAATGGTGTGCATGTGCTAAAGGGAGAAACAGTCTCATTTTGCACATCTGGTAAGTGCTGAGGCCAGGCCGATAATGGTTCAGATTTTTCAGAAGCAAAGAGGGAAAAAAGAAGGAAAAAAAAAAGAAAAGACACACTACAAAGCTACATGTTTGATTAGGGAAAAAAAAAAACGAAAAAAAAAAGCAGCTACAAGTGCGAGGAATGAGCCCTCGCAAAGGCCTTTAGGCTTTAAGCTGTGGCATCCTACACTTCGCAAGAAACACGAGAATAGGTATTTTGGCATAATTTTGCTCCTTCTAGGTATTTTTACATGTTTGAACTTTGAAGTAAATAAAATTCGAGATAATTTGATAAGAACGAGGGAGAATCAAATATCTCAAAGGAGTTTCTGCACTGACTGTTTTATCAGAAAAAGAAAAAGATGGTTAACTTGTGCACAGGAATCTTTAACCTAATCCCACTCGCTCCCCTATTCCAAAGGAGACTGCAACTTGTTCGGACTTTGTCATGCAAAGATACATTCTCTGTGAGAGTAGAGCCTAAGTACATCTTTCAATCTTTGATCCTTTTTCGTTTTTTCAAAATTTTCTCAAGTACATCTTTTGATCTTTTTTTTTTTTTTTTTTTTTTTTTTGGTGTGTGTGTGTGTGTGTGTGTGTGTATGTAGAACAGTAGAATTTAGTATTTAGTACTTACCGTTTCTGCGGTGGTGGGAACAGGCTGTTTGCACCGAGTGTTGTCTCCCTGTTGGAGTCTCCGGCAATTCCACCCTCGTCAATTCGAGTTCGACCCCAGGTCAAAGCTGTCATTGCAGATGGGCCCTTATATCCGCCACATGGATCGCTGGAGGAGTGTCAAACGAATTCAAAAAAAAAAAAGAAGGAAAAAAAAAGTGCTAAATGAGAACCAGCAGAATCGTTGTCCTACATCAACAGCAGAAGACACAATCTAGCCTCCAAATTCAAGCAAAGGAGGAGATCTCGCACTTTCTTTTTCTTCTTCTTTTTCTTCTTGAAGCAAAATCCGGAGAGCATCTCGGTAGCCTGCAGCTTGATGGACCCTTATATGATGAAGTTATATCCACCACATGGATCGCTGGGGGAGTGTCAAATGAATTCAAAAAAACAAAAAATAAAACAATACGATAATTGAGGTGCTGCCCTTCTTGCTATTCTACAACCCAAGAATGCGATCAGCTTCCTTTTACTAGCTATTCATTTGCTGTCATTTGTAAGAACTGAAGTATAGGACCGCTCGCGCCCCCGGGTTAGCGCGCTACCGGTGCCTGGGATAGCCGCAACGTTAACCGCAACGTCACCACCATCGCGCTGAGGGGGGACCGCGCCATTGCGTGGCGCTGTATCCCGACCGTGCCGCCTTGGGGGTCTGCACCCCACTATCGCGAAACATGGCCGAGACCCCAAGCCATCAGCATCGCGCAGAGGGGAGATCGCGGTGGGGTGTACGTCCGCACCCCGCTGTCGTGCAAGCCACCGGGGGTCAGCATCCCGACATCGAGCAAGGGCCGAAGGGAGACCCCGTGCCCAGCCATCGCGCAGGGAGTTATCTTCCACGGCATTGCCAATGAGCACACGGGGGGGGTTGAAGGGGGAGGAGGAGCGAAGAGTACAAGTAGGCAACGAAGCCGCCAAAGCAGGAAGTGAACTTACACCGGGGTATTTCAGCAACGGGCGATCAGGCACAAAGAGGGGTAAGGTGCAGGCAGAAGGGAGAGGCGCTCCAGAAAGGTAGGAGTGCCCCTACGGTTTTGCCTCTAATTATTGCTATAGAGCAGGTAACCTTCAAGGAGCGAGGATGGTGGGAGCTCAGTCTGGATGGCAATCGCGTAAGGTATATCAGAGAGCTAAGTAGGTAACCGACCCCCCATTTTTCACCTCAATTTATAAGAAAACCATAAGGCCATCCCAAGCAAACTTCTCACCAATCTATAGAGTGCACTTCGGAGGTAGAGGAGGTAGAAGGGGAGGAGGAGGTAGAAAAACTTTGAGACAAACTAGGTACAAGCATATCGAAGGGAAGATTGAAAGAAGAGTTAGGCGCCGGGAAAAGTAAGGGTAGTAAGGGGAATAATCCACGGGAATAGCAGACGGAGCAAAGGTATATCGATTACAGTAAGTGGAAACACTAATTGCCTTCCAATTTTTTTACCTGTTGTTTTTAGTAGCAGAAAGTGAAAAAGGGATGTAAACCAGCATAAAAACAAAAGTAAATACATAATTATTAATTCTATAAAAGTAAAACAGGAGGGAGGGCCCAAAAAAAAAAAAAAAGGAAAAGAGGGGGAGGAGAAGGGAACACACAGGGGAGGGGAGCACAAGGGTTGACATAGATCCAATATGGCCCAATCGTACGTGGCGACGGCTCAAAAGGCAATGTCAACAGAGGATAGGGAGAGGAGTGAAGGGGAATTTCGAAATCAACAAGAGAAAGGGGCAACACAAAAAGCATCCCAGATCGGAATCACATGCACGCAACCGAAGGCACTGGGTCAAAAGGCCATCAAATTTTTAATGGAAAAAAAACAAAATAAAGGCGCCCATTAAAATCACAATGGAAACATCGAAGGCACATGCGGTACTGTTAAATTTCTCGGGAGACCTCTCTCAAAATGAGAAGAGGAAGTGGGTCATGGAACGACTCAGAGGATTGGAGAATGTACCGGGTATAGAACCTGAGGTCTCCTATCACAAGAGGGGCAAGTTCACTGTGATGATTGTCTGCATAGATCCGTTCCAGTTTCTATTATCGCTGGTTTCACTGAAGTGCCACGGATCGGTAGTCACCATCCAGGCATGGAAGCCTCCAAGACCGCCCCAAGCCGAGGCCTCCCGTCACAGGCAGACAATGATGAGGGACAACTTTTGGGTCCAGTTCGACAACCTCTCAGAGGGTATGCACAGTTTCGTGCAAAAGCGCCTATCGGAGGAGTACCCTAATAACGCCATCATCGACTGGCTGCCGGCCAACCCCGATTTTTGGCGCCTAACCACGACTTGAGAGTGGCCTGCCTGGAGGTGCAGTTGGGGGCTCCCCCGAAATTTCCGGAGGTATGGATTTTTCGCAAGAACGGCCAGAGGATCACGATCTATGTTTCAACTAAGTCTAATCCCTTCTGTTTCAAGTGTCGCTAAAGAGGGCACCTGGGCCCGAACTGCCCGCAGTCTGAAGCAGGGAGCAAGCCAATCCAGCTGCGACAATCAATGTTGATGGAATCGGACAGCAAGTCAAGAGTACGGTTCATTAACCTGGCGCAGTATCGGGGATGGATCTTTGACGACAATCTGGACACTCCCCGGTGGGTATGGGTGCTACAGGGGGCACTGTCCGTAAAACCGGACATATACCCGTCGTACGACAACAGGTGGCGTCAGAAGGGGGCGGGACGATTAAAAAGAAGGGTATTGGCTATCTGACGAAACCCATGATCGACGAAGCCACGATAATGGATGATAAACATCGACTGCAGTTGATGGAGGAGCTCCACAAGTTGGGCCACACAGCAGAATCTTCGTTCCTGGAAAACAGAAGAGCGAGAGAACAGGCACAAAATGGAACGTCCTCTAAAAACCAAGGGGAGAGCATGGATTGTGAAGGGGAAGGAAGCAGATCAGGAGGAGGTAACAACACGGAGGACAATTCAACTGGTAAGATCAAAAGGAAGGCGGAATGAGGGGACTCAAGTCAAAGCGAACACTCCAAACAGGACTCCAAGCGCTCATCTATAGAAACAGGTGCTAAATCAGGCTCCTCACAGGGGAAAGCAGGACAAACCCTGGAAATGGACATAGAGGAGGAGGTGGCAGGCAACCCAAGTCTGTCCGGTGAGGCGATGGATATCTCGCAGCAAGCCAACAGCGATCACTGTACTTCCAGGGAAGCCTCATCGGCCTCCAACCCGGCTACCCAAGGGAAGGTAACGTCAACATAAGGAGAAGGGAAGGAAATGAAGGGGGATTCAGACGATGAAGTTTGGAAGGAGGAGGAGGAAGAGGAGCCAGACACCTTGATCAAGTGGATCCGGACCGTTCACAACCTGCAATGGGAACGTCACATTGAATGTGAGATCCGCCTGGCACACCACAAGCATCTACGTAACTTGAAACAGGCAACAACAACGGAGGAGACACCGCTTCCACAAATCGGTTCGAGATTCTGAGAAGGGAACAGAAGTTGAACGAGTTCTATGCTTCCCAATACGGATGGAGAGCCCAACAGCGCAAAAATGATATCACGGTCCAAAATGTGGGGTACGCCAAACAGTTCGTTTGACCCAAAACGTACCAGCCGCAGGGGTTGAAGAGATCCGAGAGGAAACGAAAGATGAAGCAGGAAGAGTCGGATCAGGCTAGTCAAGAAAGCCAGGACTCTGCGCCTTCGGGCGGAGAATCAGTGGAACAACGACTCACCTCAACCGAAGAGGATCAAATGGAGGAGGAGAAGAGGCAAGCAGCGATACTCAAGGCTCAAATCGGCATCCTCGAAGAGAAAAATAGGGAGTTGGAAGAGGACACAACCAACCTGCAAAAGATAGCATACGCCCCGCACAGGGACATCCACGCAACAGCCAAGCTCTATGCAAAAAGCAACCCAGGAAAGAGAGTCCTTCTCCCCTACAGATGGAACGAGGGGAACTCCGATTGGCGATCCACCGATCCCTAGTGCTCATCACAACAGAAGAGAACAACTGTTCAGGGGAAGCATGGAGGAAGCTGCTAACAGAAGACATCCCAACCCGAGCGTATGTAGTAGGGAATCTGGAGGACGACAAAGAAGATTGGACGGACTCAGCAGGGGCCACACAGAAAATGGACTTCAGACCGATCATGATGAAGTTGCAGAGCACAGCGAAACTCAGTGAGGGCCCGGTCTGGATGCCCTGGTAGGTGGTGGAGACCATCCCCTACGGGTTACTGGGGGGATCGGAAGCAGCAGAATGGGTGGCAAGGAGCGCAATGATTATGATAGCAGTAAATGTTGAAGCCTTCTCATGGAAGTCGGAATACACGGAGGGAAAGATAGCACATGGGGCAACAAGAATTGACCTTGGCCTAGCGGGCTCCTGAATTCGCAAATACGAAGAGAGGGGAGGTTAAAGTGACATCTTACCTCAATGGAGGAGGCAAAGGAAGTGAGGCCGAGGAAACATCTGAGACTTACTTTGGGGGTCAAGAGGCTAGAACCTGAACTAAGGGTGATATCGTGGAATGTCAACGGTATGGTACAGAATCTACAGATTCTCGAGAATCAGGAGAAATGGGGCAACGTTCTAAAACATATGGATTTGTTCGGCAGCAACCCTCCAGATTTCTTGTGCATTCAGGAGACCCACCTTACAACGTCCCTCGAACATCAGCAAATTCAAACCAGGATTATGGAAAGGTTAGGGCGAGTCAAAACAGGGTACTGGGCACTAGCAGGACGTTCCCATTCGGTAGGGGTGGTAGTCCTCAACAAGTATTCTCAGGCAGCAAACAAGATACTAATCCAAGAGGTACAAACAGACACAACAGAGGGCAGGCTGGTCAAGATCAACTTTACCTTTCAGGATGAGGCGTTTACATTGCTCTCACTGTATTGTCCAAACACAGGCCAACCACGATCGGTCAGTTGGAAGAGTTATAGACGTGGATCGAGCCAGCAAGGCACTATATACTAGCAGGAGATTGGAATGCCACCCTCAAGCCAGCGCGTGACAGGACGTCAGGATGGAGGGGGGGGAGAGAACTCGGCAGGGGATGAATCACTCCCCATCCACGACATGATGACTAAATGAGACCTCATCGATCTATATAGACTCTATTACCAAGAACAACGACAATTTA